AATTTCTACAGCCTTCTTTTTTTAATATTACAACTAGATTTCAATGGAAATAGCCAGAGCCTAGGTAAATCTTTTTTACATTAACATAGGTCATTTGTTATTTTAAATGGAAATTCCTACATTAATTTTTATTCTGCAATCAGGATTCCACCTATATTGATCTACTCATGACACTAGCGATTTTTTATCTGTAAGAAATGAAATAAAAAAATTCATTCTAACTTTAAAAAAATGGAAACTCTTATATTAATGGCATATATTGTCAATAGTTGTTAAACCAATAGATTTTAAGTTTTAAATTGTTTTACCTCTTTATAAGAATATATATGTGGTGGCGCACGCCTTTAATCCCAGCACTTGGGAGGCAGAGGCAGGCGGATCTCTGTGAGTTCGAGACCAGCCTGGTCTACAAGAGCTAGTTCCAGGACAGGCTCCAAAACCACAGAGAAACCCTGTCTCGAAAAAGCAAAAAAAAAAAAGAATATATATATTAAAGTAAAACAAAATGTATTTTCAAGACCTGACATTCAAGACAATTTCCTCATTTATATTTTTATGGAGTAAATATTAAAAACCATCCCTTCTCTAAACTTAGAAAACCAACTATTTAACCTCAATTTAATAGTGTCTCCCATATTGGCCCAGCCATTTTTATGTCTAGTAATCTAAAAAGTATTAAGAAACTGAGTGCCAGGGACTTAGCATGTTCCAAGTCCTGGGTTCAATCCCCAATGTCAAAAAGAAGTGAACAAGTCTTATTCAATCTTAGGCAGTCTTCCTAACATTTAATTGTACCTTAGAATGGCAGGATTTGATTTTCTGACACAGCCCAATTTATGACATGAATAAATAAATACATATACCAGAAGCCAGCAAAAGCTGCAAGAAATATTTGGTTAAATTCATATTCACATTAGCCACCATCAGCATTAGGTGACCTATTTGCATTAGGTCTCATGTTTCTTAGGTAAAAGAAACTCTAATCAGTCTTAAGACACCATTCCATAAAAAGGAAAATACTAACATTTTCTGAGTCCTGGTTATTTTTTTTTCTTTCTGAGCAAGTTACCTAGACTCAAGTAAGTCTAAAGCTTTAAAGTTATCTGTATTAGCTGGGCAGCGGTGGTGCATATATTTGGGAGACAGAGGCAGGAGATATCTTTGAGTGTGAGATCAGTCTGTTCTATGGAGCAAGCTTCAGGTCAGCTAGAGCTAACAGGGAAAAAAAAAAAACCTATCTTGGAAAAAAGTTATCTTCAAGAAAATGTAACAAAATTAGAATTCAAGTCACAATTTAAATGATTTTAACTCACCTCTTCACTTTTTGATTTATGCAGAACAAATCCCTTTTTCCTTTGTCCATCAGCACCTTCATTTGGTTTTCTGATATTAAATTCTACTTTTGCCCGGTCTTTATTTTGAATAGCTTTCCATTCATCCAATGTCATCTCTTTTGGACCCTCTTCCTTAACCTCTTCAACTTCATTCTCCCTGTGAAAAATACATTTAAATTTTATGTCTGATGACTGCTACTACTTTGTAGGAAAATATTTGGAGGACTGGAAATATGGATAAGAGGTTAAGATGTTAAGATGGCTAAGAGCACAGGCTACTCTTCCAGTCATATGCGTTTCAGTTCCAACACAGTAGCTCACAACTTTCTGTAACTCCAGTTCCAGGAGATCCGGAGACCTCTTCTCCATAGGCAACAGACAAGCAAATAGTACACATATATACATACAAGTAGACAAAACACCTATACACATTTTCTAAAAATTATATATTTCAAATTATAAGGAAATTGACCCTGACTGTTAGTACCCATTACAAAGACTATCAAGAGAATAGCAGGTTTTTGTATAACCCAGCAACATGCTTGTAGACCAAGCTGGCCTTGAACCCACATAGATCCCCATCTGCCTCTGCCTCCCGAGTGTTGGGATTAAAGGTGTTCTAAAGGTGTTCATGTGCCATTACCACCCAGCTACAACTTGCTTTCTAAAATGTCAATTTACCATGAAGTTGCCTTATCAACCCACAAGACACATTTGTTAACTATACTGTACCCTCTCATATAATTAATTTCATGGTCTACTTTCTAGTAACTGTGTAGGGTGCATACCTGTGTTCATGCATGCACGTGCACGCAAAGGTATGCTAAAGGTCAATATTGGTATTTTTCATGATCACTGTTTATTTTTTGAGACCACATCTTTCACTGAACCTGAAGCTCACCAACTGGCTAGGCTGGATGGCTCTAGAAAATCTTCCCATACCCACTGGGAGGATTAAGGTTGGCTTTTATTTGGGTGCTAGAGAATCTGAACTCAGGTCTAAAAGTTTTAAGCAGCAGATAACTTCCTGACTGAACCAATTGCATATTATTTTCATTTCATCTAAAAAGACCATTATCTGTTGCTCTTCTACTTTAGTAACTAGCACTCTAGCAAAGTATACATGACTGATTTCTACAAATCTGAAATGTAACTCCAACTCTCAAACCAACTTCTAACACATGGAGAGGAGACTGAAGTTTCACTAGTAATGGAGCTGTCCACAAAACAAAGTGATTTCAATATTTATATCAAAAGTTATTTCCCAAATCTTAACTATTTTAATTATCTTTTCCTCTTTCTACATAAAGCACAGACCTAGGAATCCATTATCTTATCCTAATTCCAAATGTCACTAAACAAATCATTTGCTATTTTGGGAACTCTGCTTCCTTCCAAAGATAGCAAGTGATTTATTTAGTTTAGTTAGCATCACTGCTAGAATATCTTTATGCAATTCTTTATATTTCGACAGTCTATCTTACATCTTCCTGAAACAAACTGACATTCAATCTTGACAGGATATTGGATATCACGTCTACCAAGTCACTTTTACAGATGACAGAACTCAAGCTCTGGAAAACTTTCCTAATGACTCGCCAGTTCTGACAGTCCATGACACATACCTATAAACACTACTTAAGTTTTGCTTCTTAAACTTATCCTGGCCAAGCGGTGGTGGCACACGTCTTTGATCCCAGCACTTGGGAGATAGAGGCAGATGGATCTCAGTTGAGTTCGAGGCTAGCCTGGTTTTCAAGGCAAGTACCAGGACAGCCAGGACTAAGAAACACTGTCTTGAAAACAAGGTAACCAAAAAAAAAAAAAAAACCTTATCCTGAAAATAAAAGATTACATTCTATTTCCCACTACTTTATAAGAATAAACTACTCTGAAGGGATGACTATCATCTTCATTAGAACAATTATCCCCAATTGTTCCTGGGTCCCAAGTAGAGGAATACTTTCTATAGCCTATGAATGCATCACTTCCTTCTGAGCAACATTTAGTCTTGAGGATCACATTAAAAACAACTCAAATACATTTAAAACAAAAAAAGATGTGCTTAGTTTTGTGAGTTACCATTAATCCACATTATGTTTACCCCTCCTCCTAATTAAAACACACACCCAAATTCTTAATTCAAACAAGCATCTAATCCCATTTACTTTTATATATTCCAATGATTGTTTTCCTTATTCCAACAAGCCCACAAAATACAATGCTTCCTCTCACCATTAACAGCTGTTCACCAAAACAGCACTTCACATTTTTTTTTTTGGAGGTAGCCTCAGAGGTCCCAATTAACAGCTAAAAAACTTGCACAGGGAGTGTGGTAGCAAGTACCTTTAATCCCAACACTAGAGAGTTAAGAAGATCTTGTGAACTAAAGCCAGCCTGGACTACGTAGTGAGTTCCTGGCCAGCACTACAATAGTGAGACCCTATCTCAAAACCCAACAGGACTGGAGAAATGATTCAGCAGTTAAGAGCACTCTTCCCAAAGACCCAGATTCAAACTTCAGCACCTACATACAAGTCTATCACTCACAACTCCAGATCGATAACTTTCTCTGGCCTCCGTAAGTACCACATGAATGCAGATAAACATCCATACACATAAAATTAAAAATAATAGTTTACACGGGGGGAATACTTGGGGGAATTGGTCCAGCCAAAGAACCCCTAAGAAAACAAAAGCAAAATCTGACTAATGGGATTAATAAAAGACATTCCTGTAACCCATTCATCAAGTGACTAATAGAGTGTATGTAACAAATGCAAACAGCCCAACAACAACAAAAAACATAACATACATTTTTAAAAAATGGGTAAATGAGGGTTGGCCAGCAGTTAGGAGGCAGAGGCAGGCTGTGTTCAAGACCAGCCTGCTCTACAAAGTGAGTTCTAGATCAACTAGGGCTGTTACACAAAGTAAATGGAGAGAATAAAAAAAAAAAGGAAACAGTTCAACATCAGTAATTATCAATGCTAAAACTGAATGAAAACCAAAGGGCTTAGAGTGTAACTCAGACGGTAGGGCATACCTAGTATGTATGAGGTACTGACGTAAGAGTCCTAGCAATGCAAACTGAACATGACTGAACACAAATATAATCCCTTTTCTTGGGAATAAGCATACAAAAGCAAAGCAATCCTCCATCATATATTAAAGGGCAGTTAGAGCTAAATAAGACCCTGACTAAAAAACTCCATCAAAATCACAATGAGATAATCTTACCCTAGTCACAAATGACTATTAACAAGAAATGCTGGTGAGGATGCAGAGAAAATACCCCCAGAAATATACATCAATTCAACCACAATGGAAATCAGAGACTCACAAAACAATAAAAACCTACATACAGATCCAACAATTTTGCCATTTGGCATATATTGTGCTAAGCTTAACTTTTCCAAGGTAGACATGAATAAACATTTATTCACTTCAGATCAAGTACATATAGTTAAGAAAATTATTCCACCTGCTTGGTGGACCAATGCGGTTCATTATTTACAAGAACATGAGTGTGTTGGTTGTTTACAGGAACAAGGAAAACCTATGAGCAATAACACCAACAGAAGTGCTTCCCCATCCCTTAGCAATCAGTAATGGCTTATACAGACTCAGAGAAAGTATAGGTCCTCAGACCACCTGGCAAGCCCCATAAGTTAAAGAAAAGCTGCCATGATTTCAAGACAGCAATGCTCGTCGTATCCAAACAGACTGAGTTCCACAACATACCCAAAAAATAAATAAATAAATAAATAAATAAATAAATAAAATCACTATGCCAAAAGTACATCCACACCCTGTTGTTTACTGTAGCATGAGTCCAGCAATTCCAGGGACTCCAACACCCTCTTCTGGCTTCTGTAGATACTGCACAAATGCGGTGCACTTAACACACATACAAGCAAATGGTTCACACACATGAAGTTTTTTTAAAAAGAATGTTAACAAGCTAAGCCATTCTTCTAATTGCTTTTCAGTTTGAACCTACTTTTTATAAAGTTGTTTTTCAACTTGCCTTGCTTTAGTATTTATAACTGAAAATGCTGAGATTATTTGAACTATGACTAAACACTACAAATACCTCTTATACCAACAATTTGGTTCTTTTTTTTTTTTTTTTTTTGAGACAGGTTTTCTCTGTGTGGCTTTGGCTATCCTAAAATTCAGTTTGTAGATCAGGCTGGCCTTGAACTCAGAAATCCAGCTGCCTCTCCCGTGCTGGAATTAAAAGGGAGTGCACCACCACACAGCTTGGTTCAGTTTTCCACACACCCTACCTATTCAGAATCTCAGAATAGTACATCTATCACTAGAATTATCCTTCCTAAAGTTCAAAGGCAAAGTACTTTGTTCCTTTTCCTTCATCCCTGGGTAACAACAGGTTATATATGTGATTAGGGCTTAAACATTTTACTTAAAATACATATATTCCTTAACCTTGCTAAGGTATATAAAAATGGTAAAACTACCAAACCAACACCAAGTCAGGCATGGTAGTACACACCTGTATTCCCAGGACTTAGAAAGTGAGACGAGAATACTGAGTTCTAGGCCAACCCTAAACTACACTGTAAGACAATGTCGCAAAGCAAGAAAGTCTCATGTCTGTGCTATCAAATAACTTCCACTAAATCAGTTACTTTATTGGTAAAAAGGCAGACAAGTTTCCATGTTGGCTGGAGCATTACATCCTCACACAAAACCACTTACTTATTTTCAGTGTCTGCCACTGGGTGCTCTTCACCTTCAGGTGTTTCCTCAGTCACATTTGATTGCTCCAAATCACTGCAATTATAAGATATTTGTTTCTGAATGTATTTGGGAGACTCTCTAAGGAAAGAAAGAAAAAGAAAGGCATCTAGGTCCATTTATATGTAGCCAAAAGTCCTTCATAGCAAAGTAAAACTCTTATATCCTTTATGCATTTCTACTAATTTTATTTTCAATCCATTTTACTCTCCAGTAGACCTCTAAGAAAACATTATTAAAGTTCACACATTCTTAAAAGGCTTTATTTGTCAAACACAAAAATGGACACCTGTAATTACACAACAAGTTCAGGGCTAGCCTGGACTATATAAGACCTATCTCAAAAACTCCAAAAACAAAAAAGGTTTAAGGCTTATCAAATTTTATAAGGAGAAAACTACAATAGCTGAAGTTCAAACTATTAAAGTCATAGTATCACAATACCCCCAACATTTTCATCACAGGGCTTCAGAAAAAGCTACATATATCCATGACAAAAATAAAGTTATTGATATGCTTAATTATCATAAATAAAATATGATAATTTAATTTTATTTAAATATAAACATCCCATAAGACATTATAAGGTTATAGCTTTGAGATAGATAGAACTTCAATGATCTCAGGAACAAAGCTTAAATATTAATAAGCCTCTAGTTAAGTTTTTATTTATTATTTAACTAATAAATTAAAATAAGAGTTAGAATTTTGGTTTATTATTTAAATCTAATTATTTAACTTAAAAAAAAAATAAGAATACCAACGTTAATTCATCTTTGACAGTTCCCCAGTTGTGAGATCCGCTACCTCCACGCTTGTCCTCATGCTTCAGGCCACTGTAATGCGAAAAAGAAGATCTATCACTTCCACTATGCCTATCAAATTCACGTTTGCCACGAGAATCAAATCCATCGCCTCGGCCCATTCCACATCCCCTCCTCGACCCCTTCCGAGACCACCTCGGCCTCGAATAGGCCTTTCAATAATCGGTCTACAAAACAAATTTAAAAATTTTATCTCTGATGTTTCCAGAAACAGAAAAAAATCCACTCCAATACTCAATACAGAATATGCTTACTGGTTCACAACCCAACAACTAAATGCATGGTGTAGAAAATTCAAGGTTTATTTCTAGTCATATAAGGGAAGAATTACAAACTTGCTATTTTTAAAGCATTGCTGCCAGTACACACTTTTTGGCTTACTGACTCACTGCATCAATCATACTTGTATTTACCAATAATCTTATCTAGCCTGCATAAGTGAATGACTGACAACAGCACTGTCCTTCTAAACTCAGTATCTAAACAGAGGACCGAAAATAAATTGGCCACTGATTCAATTAAAATATTTACTATTAAGAGCTCTAACTTAGAACATGTTATCCATAAATGTAAATGCAAAAACACATTCTCATTTCTCTGAAATATACCTAAGCAAATACCTGGCAATTATGCCCAATTTACACCTTTACATTAAGATCTAACTATAAGGGGACAAAGCAAGAAAAACTTGTTTAAGGCTTACCTATCAACTGAAAATTCACCTCCTTCACCCCTTTCTTCAAGGGGTTTTTCAAATCTTCTTTCCCGAGGTGGTCGCCTTTCTGGTCTCCTATCAATTATTTTCCCTTCACCCTGAAGTTGTTGATCAGGTCTTCTTCCAACTCGCCTTATTCCTTATGACAAATAACCAGCATAAGCAAATCATCTTAACAATACAAAAGTTTAGCCTAGACCATTAAGGCTGATGAGCATCAGCCACGTATAACAAACTGTTTCAGACATTCTCATTCAACAGTACACATCTCAAACTTTATCTACATGCCATAACTGACTTGGAAATCACTGGGCACCATCACACCTTACTTTCCAAAAAGTCAAAGTCTCCCATGACAAAATTTTAAACTTACAAATATTTCAGTCAAATTTTAAACTTACAAATATTTTTGGCTTTAGAGAATTCAAAGCTAATACCAGTATTCATTCATAAATAACCAAGCACTAAATATGCCCCCCAGAAAACAGGGAAATTCACTCTTATTTTTCTATATAATCTGAAGGGGGGGCAATAAAGAACTCTTGAGTCAGGAAAAAAAAACTCTAAAATAGCTATTTGAGGTGGATGTGGTGCCTACAATATTAACCCTAGGAAAGACTGGGACAATGCAGGTTTGCAAGTTCAAGGCCAATCTGAATCACAGAGGCCAAGCCCCAACTCCACCCCAAACAAGCAAATAGAGCTATTTAACCTGAAAAACTATTGCTTTCCTCATTAACAGTCAAAGTCCAAGTATGTATATACAAATCTCTATACATATTTCCAAGTCTAACATTAACACTATTACCTAACCATTAGGAAATACTTCATAATTAGTATGGACAGAAAGCCTTTTTCTAGGTCTGCTTTCAAGTATGTTTTCAAAGCATCTTCACAAATCACACAAAGGTCCTCATTTAGCATTTTGAAGGGTGCGACTGTCCAGAATGTTAGTAACATGCAAAGCCACAGTCACAGTACCCACCTGCAAAAAAAGAAAATGAACTCATGGCACTAAGTGACATTTAGGAAGGCATAACTAATTTTTCTGCCTCCATTTTTTTCTGATAACGTAGGAGACTAACAAAAAGAACCAATATGAATTGAATTATTGATAGTATTAAGAACAAGTTGATCGTTAAATATATGCCTACCATTTCAGGTATGCTCAAACCATATTACCAAACCATAGGTTTTGACAGTCTAAAAACAGCACAAAAATTGTTTTTGTAAAATATTAAGTTATGTGACTTAAAGAAAATGGAACACCATCAGGATATACCAATTTGTTCAGATATCTAACTAGCCGTGCAGTTAATATTTAAAGCTCTGTAAATTCTTATGACAAGCCCTAAATGTGGACCTTATACCAAGACATTTACATAAATTTCATCAGAGGTACAGTGTGTTAGGGTGGAGCTATGGAACTCAGTCCTTGTAATGATAACCAAGCTAAACACACCCAAGGAACAATGGCTTGGTTCCCCACCCAATATTCAATGAGGCCTCATAATCAGAAAAACTTATTAAACTCATTATGGAAGTGTTGCTCATTGAGAGCTACTTTAGCCTAGTGTGCAAAACGCTGGATTCTACCAATATCACCTCAAAAAGTAAATTCATCTAATGACATTTTTAAGGCATGCAAGCTTCTTTTGATGTACTTACCATATATATATATATATATATCTTAAGTGTTAACTGTGGTACAATCCAGTTTTTTTTTAATCCAAAAACCTGATCTACACTTAACTCTAAAGTTCTTCAGATAGACAAAAACTAAAAAATTTATGTAAGGAAACCATAACATTCCAACACTGTGTTATTGAGACCCGGGACAAACCATGGATTAACAATTCTTTCTTTCTTAGAAGTACCAATTACCATCCAATACACAGAACTGACATTCTTACTCGAAGTTTCCCCTTATATGTAACTTTGTTTCAAGTAACTCTAGCTTTAGAGTGATCTAAGAGTTGAGTTGAGGACCAAGGAAGCACAGCTTTTCCCCCAGCATGGGCAAGGTCTTGAGTTCTACCTCCAATATCACCCCCCCCCCCAAAAAAAAAACCCTTCTGAAATACTAAGGAAAAATGTCGATCAGTAAGGTGGAAGTTTTCCGAAGGAATTAAATAATGACAAACTATCCTGCCAATAAATACAAATTCCCCTAAACGTATGACTTACAATCTTAGTTTCCAGGTAAGATCATATGTTGGATTCGTGGTGAAAACTGAGTAATTTAAATTAAGATTAATGCGCTGAACATTTTAATGAGCGAGCACATCAACCTGGTGTGTTTCAAGGAGGTAAACAGTTTAAAATACACCAGCCAGTGTTCCTTAACACAAGAATTAAATACCTTAAATTGTGTGATGTCAGAAGCTTAACCGGCTGAGTACTTTCCCCACGTGATGTTCTTCTAACACTCCAGCTATTCTGCCTTTCCAAATCTATCATTTTTAAGCACAAGAAGTCTTTCTTTGATTCAATCAACTAGGTACTGGATGTTTACTCCACGCATTAAAAAAAGACCCCTGCCCAAAAAGATACTTTAATTTAAAACCTAAACAATTCCCTTCATGAGCACGTGGCAGTTAAGGGGCAACGTTGCCACATAATGGCAACTTCAAAGATTCACAGCTTAAATTGTATACCTACCTGCTACTGATTTTGTACTTTTTCTTGACTCTTAATTGCTTTGCCTTTTCACCCACAATGAGCCAGTATTGGGGAAGAATACTAAAATCAAAACCACTACAAAACTTTCAGCGCCCTGCAAGAGTCTACTAACCGCCAATGAAGACCTGACCACGCTTCACGCACGTGCGGTGGAAAAGCTGCAGACTCCAAAGAGCTCTGCTGCCGGGACGTGACAGGCTGGGCACTCGGAAAAGCTCTAGGACCAGGGGGCTCAAGGGAGTTGGAAGAAGGGATCGCTACACGAGAACGGTTCTGCTAGTGACCGGTCTTCCTTCAAAACTCCCTCTAAAACGCGTGGGGCCAAACTCCTCTCCTTCCCACCAGGTCCACTCACGCCAGCAAGTCACACTAAGTTTGGCACGCGAGCGCCAGGGTGCAACCAAAAAGCACACGTGCGACCCAACACTCCACTCGAACACTGCCCCCAAACTGAGACGACGGGCCCCGGCCCGTCCACGAGGGTCCGCGCCATTGTGGCACAAGATGGCTGGGCAGGAGCCCAGAGCGGGCAGCGGCACCCAGGGGCACGCCGAGCAGGAAGCGTGCCCGGCAGAGGCAGGAGGCGAGCGCCCGGGCCGAATCGGCGGGAACGCCCGGGCCGCCCTCCCGGAGCACGCTCAGTCGGCCCGAGGCGGGAAGACTCCCGCCGCGGCCGCGGGCGGCGTGGGCTCCGCGGTCCCCTTCAGTGCACACGCCGCGGCGGCGCACGCCCCCGTCCCGCCCGCCAGCCCGCCCGCCAGCCCGGCGCTCTCCCACCGGGTGCCTCGCCCGGCTTTACCTTCTTTCTTAAGCGCCACCGGCGGCTGCGTCTCCTCCTTTTTGTCGGCCACGCCGCCGACGATGGCGGGCAGCGGGTTCTTGCGGTCTTTCTGGGACTCTTTCCGCAACTGTTTGCCCGCCGCGTTAGAGTTGGTCTGGGCCGCGGCCTGAGCCGCGCTCTTGGCCCCGGGGCCCCCAACGCCGCCCCCGCCGGCTTCTTTTTTCTTGTTCTCTGCTGCCTTCAGTACCTCGAAAGGGTCCGATTCGTCGTCAAATAGCTGGTCGAATCGGTTGGTGACCACGCAGCCGAAGCCTTCCTGTAGGTGCCCAGGCATGATGGTGGCTCGGCGGCGCGTTCCTCCACGGATTGCAGCGGACCGCGCCAAGCCAAAAGCGCCTGCTTCAGCTCTTCCCACAAGATGGCCGGGCCGAGAGAGGGGGGCCGCCTTCTCTTCCGGCGACAGGCACACATCCGGGAGCGGCCTGCGCCGCACAGCACTATGGGGCACGTAGGCCACAGCCTAGCATCCTCAGGCGACTATCCACTGCTGGACCACAACTCCCAGCGTGCACCGCGCAGCAATTCTTCGCGCGCGCCTGAGAGGCGGGATCTCAGGGAGAGAGTGCAGCGTGCTCGCTGAAGGTGGAGGAGCGTGTGATGGGCGGAGTTCTGCCACCTGCTCTTGTCACCCTAAAACTCTCGGTCTTTAGCGACCCCTGAGAACAGGGAAACGTGAGGGCGCCTTCTGCTCACGAAAGTGTTCTCTGTCTTTGGTTTCACCCACTCCGTCTCCGGCCGAGGACTTTCTCCACCTTTCTGAGAGGGTCAAGGTGACTCCCAGACCTAGTAACTGGAGCCTCAAAAACTTCCGGCGGGGAGGGGGGGGTGAGGTGCCACACTAACCACCCGTAGGTTTGCAGTTTGCCGCCGCTCGACTGCACATCCCTGGCGGTTAGTTTTCTGGAGCTATCCTCCACCCTTCGTAGCGAATCGAGGCAGTTCGGTTTAATGTACAACGGAATTCCGGGCTTGCCTTCACCGAGCCGTAAATTTGGGTGGCAGAACTAATCAAAAAGATGAGTTGAACTATCTAGGTTGCGCGCCTTTTCCGTTCGTTGCGACCATGCTTTAAGAGCTGTTAACGCCCGACTGCAGCACTGGACGCCCGGCAAGCCTCCAAAGGCGGTGTTTGGAAACGCTTTCTAGATTCAGTCTGATTAACTGATCTGTCAGTATCTGGCTATCCAAGACTTAAGAGAAAGTGCTGTTAGTAAAACGTGCTCAAGAGCCAGGAGCTGGTGGCGCACGCCTTTAATCCCAGCACTCTCGAGGCGGAGGTAGGCAAATCTGAGTTCGAGGTCAGTCTGGCCTACAGAGCAAGTTCGGGAAAGCACTGCGGTTCACACAGCGAAACCCTTTCTTGAAGGTCCCTTCGCCCACCCCCACCCCCCCGCTCAAAAGATGTGCACAAATAGAATTATTGTAAACTACACTGAGTATTATGTGTGAAGGGAGGAAAATTAATTTAATACTTAATTTAGTAACGGCTTGAAAACACTGATATTAGTTTGGAGCCTTTAAAAACATAGTTTGTAAATTCTTTTCATTGACACAAAGTTTAATAGAAAATGTATCTCTCAAGTATCAGGTACTAGGAATACTTTATCCTCACATCTTTTCAGGTCAATAATTGTCCCCTTTTCACAAGTAGTAAAATCATGTGATATGATTTACCAAGTTCACACTTATGTTAAGTGCTAGTGGCAGTCTTCTTTGAGATTGTTGACATCAGCCTCTGTCCTGATAGAAGTGAAGACAAGTGTTGAAATTCTGATAACTAAACAGATTTAAACAACATGCTTGAAGATAATAATTTCTGAGCATATTTTAAATCAATACCTCGAGGAAATTAGAACACAGAGTTCTAGTACAGGAATCAGCAGCATGCCTCTTGCTTTTCTTAAGCTTCAATGTTTATTTCCCCATTGCTTCATTCCCCCACCCACACACCCACACCTTCCCTCTCTCCCACAGCCTGTGACTCTTACCAATACTAAACCAGCAGATCTTAGCCATACTTTTAGTAACAGGTCCCAGGCCTAAGCACAACTCCATGATAACAATACCATTCAGGCTTAGAATTCAACGTAGACAGTGCCACCTGCCAAAACCAAAACAAATGCCCAATCCATCAAGGCCCATATAGTTCTGGGAAAGTCTCAAAATGTAGTAACCTTGCGTTTTAGCGTCTGTAGTTCCACTTCTGGCCAACTGTTCTAATTAACTGAACTATGTCAACCAAGCACATGGTTTTTGTCCTTAAAGGCTCACTTTGAGAAAAACTCAGGGCTCCACTGGGATCCTGAACACCCAATGCCATTGCCAGATGGCTAATAAATACATTCTATTGACTTAACCCATGTTCTATCAGTCTTCTCTGGTCAATACCCCACAACACTCTCTCCACCCTTAGAAAATAGCTCAAGTACACTTTCAAGATCACACTTTAACAAATGCTTTCTCTTCAACAAGGATAGTAACTAACTGTAGTTGTAAGGCATCTCGAGAAACTCTGACCTTTTTCTCACCACTGCCACAGTTACAGTAACTAAAGCAACATTGTACTAAGTGCCTAATGCACTTTATATATGGGAATCCATTTAATCCTCATTGGCTCTGTAAGTAAGTATCAGTCTTATTTTAAGGTGAAGAAAACAAGGGCTGGGGATGTAGCTCAGTAGTAGAGCACTAAGGTGTCTGAAATCCTTCAGTCCCCAGAGGAAGATGGGGAGGAGAAAACTGAAGAAAAGGAAGCACAGTGAGGATAAGTTGCTCTCCCATATCACAGCAGCATAGGAAATGGAGAGGGCCTCTGCTTGGTCAGTTTTCTCTGACATTGTTTATCCTAAGAATATAGATTAGATGTAGAATTGGCTACCTAGAAATGTATAACACTGACACACTCCAGAGAATTTGCCTGTTGTGATAACTTCAGAATGTCAGGAGTAAACGTTTGAGAGGACAGTGAGAGTCTTCAGAGAACTGAGAAAGCTAGAGTCTGGCTAATCCAGATAAAAGTTAATGCCTATTTTTAAAGCATACAAATAAAGTCCAGGGTGTTGAGTCTTTTGCATCTTAAAATCTACTTTCTAGTTAGTATTTCACAACTACTAGCACTAATTTTGCCTTTATCCTCAGAAATTAAAGTGATCTTTAGAGGTAAGTATATAGCTTAGTGATAGATCATTTAGTTAGAAAAATGCTGGTTTGATTCCCAACACCTCACCTCCACAAAGTATACACACATATAGGCTTTAAAATATTAAAATACTGGGCTGGCAAAGTTACTCAGCAGGTAAGGGTGTTTGCCGCCAAACCTAACAATCTGACTTCTGTTTGTATAGGAGACAGGAGAGAAAGGACTTTCACGGGTTGGTCTCTGTTATCCACACTCATGCGATGGCACATTCTCATATGGGCACACACACAATAAAAGTGATTTAAAAAAAAAAACTTCTAAAATGGTTGCTAGTATAAGAATATTGGTGGGATAATCCTCACAGGTAGAGCAGAGGAGACTTCAACACTCCCTCTCAAATTCCAGGCTTTGCAGCATTACTTGAGCCACATTATGGTCTCTTTAAAATACTCAAACACCATCTCAGTTTATGCATAGCAAGCTTCTCGCAAGAATATTCTATCAGTAAATGTGAAAAGTAGCCAAGTACATTGACTAAATATATAGTATATTTGCCTAATTGTCAAACTCAGGAATACTTGCTTTTTTTATTCTATTACTCAGTTCTCAGCCACACTATAACCTTGTTTTCACTCATTTTATTGTGTGAACATGTGTACACACATGAAGACAGATGTCAATGCTGGGAATTTTCCTCATTTGCTTCTCCACCTTTTTGAGATAACATCTCTTGCTGAAGCTCACTGATTGGGTAGACTGGCTGGCTAGCAAGCCCCAGAGGTTCTCTGCTTTCCTTCTTTTCAATGCTGGGATAACAGGTGTACTCAGCTTTTACATGGGTGCTGATGAATGAATTCAGGTCCTCATGCGTGCACTTTACTGACAGGCATCTCCCTAGCTCTGTTCACACATTTGTTAATAATGTCAATCCCCTGTTACTGTTACTATAATAAATAAACAATTATTATTCTAGTTTTCACTGTGTTTTAGACATTGTGCTAAGTATGCTATTTCCTCATTTCCTTTAGTGCTCAGATTAACATGAAATAGTACTACTCTACCTCTATCATTTTTTAAATTTTTTTATTATTTATTTTACATGTATAGGTGTTCTGCCTACATGTATGCCTCTGCACCACTTATGTGTCTTTGGCGGTCAGAAGATAACATCGAATCCCCTAATACTGGAGTTACTGAAGTTTGTGAGCCTTCATGTGGCTGCTTGGAATTGAACACATACACAGCCCTCCTCTGGAAGAGCATCAAGTGCTCTTAACTGCTGAGCCCTCTCTGCGGCCCCTCTCCCCTTCTCTATGCTTTGTACAACTGAGTTTTAATACTCCTCATAAATTCACATTGACTAAGAGCCCAAAAGAATCTGATTTTTTTTAGATTTTTTTATTTTATTTTATGTGTATTGATGTTTGCCTACACATATGCATGTGCACCACATGTGTACTTAGAGGCTAGAAGAGGGCACTGGAGCCTTTGGAACTGGAATTACAGATTTTGTGAGCCAACGTGTGTGCTAGGGTACTGAACCCTGTCCACTTGGAAGACAAGCACTCTTATCTGCTAAGCCATCTCTCCAACCCAAGCACTCTGATCTTACACCGTGGTAGTAACCCAGTCTCTATCATTATGAGGGCCATAGGCCAGGAAAAAGTCTATCTTTACATAGTTACCACAACTACTAAAATAAAACTATAATTCTCTTTTAGTAGGACACATCAGGAAAACAAGCATCACATAAAAATAAATAGGAGAATAATACTATGTTTACCTAATGGATAATTCATGTTTTAAAACAAAGCAAACACATTAAAGATGATTCTCATGAAAAGGACCAATCTTCTGTCTATGAGGATACAATACTTTCAGCATAATATTGCAGGCTGAGATCTTGCTAAAATTAAAAGCTATCAGAGCTAAAAACAGAAACCTTGTACTCCCTGTTTTGCTACCTTAAAGTTACTTTGAAGTATGAACCTTTTGATTTTACACTTTAGGTGGTTATTTTTTGGTTTGTTTCGTTTGTCTTCCATTATGCTCTTTAAAAAAAAATTAAGAACATCATTGACAAAACCCACAAAGCTAGTGTTCTAGTCACAGTCCCAGCATTGGGTAGGTTAATGTAGGGATGCTGCCATGTGTTCAAGGCCAGCCTGGACTGCAGAGTGATACTTTGTCTCAAAAGAATGAAACAACAAACAACAAAAAAAGGGAAGCCAACTTTCCTGAGATACAACTCACTG